ATACATACACACACGTGTCTCTCTCTCTCTCCCATTATATATATATATATAGAGAGAGAGAGAGAGAGAGAGAAATTCCTCTACTTTCACATTTATCACTTTTACCGTTTATTTTGCGTCCTCCCGGTCTAATGACGTGTTCGCGCGTGAGTGCCTTAGACCAGTGTCCAGGTCTTCTGCGATCCATGCAGCTAGGAGCGCTGTTACCATGGTTACCTATTCACCGCGTGTTGCACAGAAGCGCGGCTCTGCAGGGAAGTTTTAGCTAGGAGGAATTCTCGACATTAATTCCGAACATTCCCTTAGTTAGTAGTTCTGTTGCGTGGAGGACTACAGCAACCATAAGATAGGCAGTATATATATAGATAGATATAAACACACACACACACACGTACGTAACGTACATGGAAAAGCACTAATGTATCCATGACGACTGATGGAATGATGTAGTATTACTTAATTTCAATATTCTGTCTACCAGTAACAACCTCGTTATGTTTACTGGTATGTAAAGTAAAACTAGTTTGGTTCATTCACTTTGTAAACTTTATTTAAAATATGCTGAATACCTCCTGTTAAGTGGTTTATTTAGAAAATATTAAATTATCCTATCAAATCTTGAATGGATATGCTATAATTGGTTGTACATGATAACTTGGAAGGTAAAAAGATAAACCTATGTATGTCAATAACTCATGTGTGTAGTAGTAGTCTGTAACACTTTTCTTGTGTTATTGACTGAGATAATTAACTAAAACGATTTTTGAAATAAAAATAAATATTTAATAGTAAGCATGTGTATATATATATATATATATACATATGGTTGATATTTCTTGAAAATAAAAGTCCTGTTTGAAACTTTTTCATTAGTTGATGAGTAGAATGGCGCCTTTGGTTGGTAAAGAGATGACAGAAAGACTCTTTCTAGAGAGGTTTGGAAATCTTTGTCTAGATGCCTCTTTCCACATACGAAAGGTAAGAGTTAAAAAAGTTGTTTAGGAATAGTTTTAAATAGTATATAAGTTTGGATTGAAAATGTAGAATAGATGTATATAAATAACATGAACTTAAGCTACATGTTTTGATACTATGACACGTTACTTCTTCTGTGTGTTCCAAGTGAGGCTGGTATGGGCCCTATTAAGATTGCTATGTGCTCTAGTAAGATTTAGGAAATATGTAATCATTAAACTATTACACACTTTTGTAAAAGTAATGCAAGTACCCGTAAAATTGGTCCGTGCAGTAGTAGAATTATGGTACAAGTGCTGGTAAATCTATGTTATAATATCTAATAAAACCATAGTACATGCACTAATAGAACAATGGTACATACAGTAGTAAATCTATGGTACATCCACTAGTAAAACTATGGTATATATATATATATATACACACACACACACACACACTATTAAAACAATGATAAATACTCTAGTAAAACTATAGCACATGTACTATTAAAACAATGGTGCATGCACTAGTAAAACTATGATACAAACAGTAGTAAAACTATGATACAAACAGTAGTAAAACAATGATAAATACTCTAGTAAAACTATAACACATGTACTATTAAAACAATGGTGCATGCACTAGTAAAACTATAGTACATGCACTAGTAAAACTATGATACAAACAGTAGTAAAACAATGATAAATACTCTAGTAAAACTATAGCACATGTACTATTAAAACAATGGTGCATGCACTAGTAAAACTATGATACAAACAGTAGTAAAACTATGATACAAACAGTAGTAAAACTATAGTACATGCAGTAGTAAAACAATGATAAATACTCTAGTAAAACTATAACACGTACTAGTAAAACATGGTACATGTACTAGTAAAACTATGATACAAACAGTAGTAAAACTGTAGTACATGCAGTAGTAAAACTATGATACAAACAGTAGTAAAACTGTAGTACATGCAGTAGTAAAACTATGATACAAACAGTAGTAAAACTGTAGTACATGCAGTAGTAAAACTATGATACAAACAGTAGTAAAACTGATACAAACAGTTGTAAAACTATGATACAAACAGTAGTAAAACCATAGCACATCTACTAGTAAAACATGGTACATGCACTAGTAAAAGTATGATACAAACAGTAGTAAAACATGGTACATGCACTAGTAAAGCTATAATACAAGCAGCAAACTATAGTACATGCAGTAGTAAAACTATAGTACATGCAGTAGTAAAACTATGATACAAACAGTAATAAAACCATAGCACATGTACTAGTAAAACATGCACTAGTAAAAGTATGATACAAACAGTAGTAAAACAATGATGCAAACAGTAGTAAAACTATAGTACATGCAGTAGTAAAACTATGATACAAACAGTAGTAAAACTGATACAAACAGTTGTAAAACTATGATACAAACAGTAGTAAAACCATAGCACATCTACTAGTAAAACATGGTACATGCACTAGTAAAGCTATAATACAAGCAGCAAACTATAGTACATGCAGTAGTAAAACAATAATACAAACAGTAGTAAAACTATAGTACACACACCTGTAAAACTATAGTACATGCAGTAGTAAAACAATGATACAAACAGTAGTAAACTATGGTACATGCAAAAATGAAACAATGATACATACCAGTGGTTCGCAAATGTTTCAGGCTCAGCACTATTTGTTTCATTTTTTAAAATCACAAACCCAGGCCTAATTTTTTTAAAAAAAAGATAAAAACCTAGAAAAAAAAATTCATATTTTTAACACTTACCCCTTAATGCGAAAGATCTGATTGTTTTTTTCTGGCACAATTGAAGGATATGTGGAACAATTTTTATCAATTTTAAGGGAAGAAGTACTGGCGAGTCTGTGCAAGCAGAGGGCGAGTATATAAGTGAGGAGAGTAGTATGTATATGTACGTGGCAAGCTCAGATAGGGCTTATTACAAATTTTATGATTTCTTATAATAATTGTGTTGTGCGCCACCGACATTAGCTCCATGTACCACCAGTGGTATGTGTACCACAGTTTGAGAATCCCTGGTATATGCACTAGTAAAATAATGGTATGTACACTAATAAAACTGTGGTATATACACTTGTAAAACTATGGTACATGCATTAATAAAACAATGGTTTACACAATAGTAAAATTATGGTTCGTGCACTAATAAACAAATGGTACATGCACTAATAAAACAAATGGTACACACAATAGTAAAATTATGGTTCATGCACTAATAAACAGATGGTACATGCACTAATAAAACAAATGGTACACACAATAGTAAGATTATGGTACATGCACTAATAAAACAAATGGTACACACAATAGTAAGATTATGGTTCATGCATTAATAAAACAATGGTACACAATAGTAAAACAATGGTACAAGCTCTAATAAATCTGATACACATGTTAGTATTATGGTACATGCCTTACTAACACTATTTTACATTCCTCAGTAAAATTGATATAAGCATCGTAAAAGTGCTTTGTGCCTTAGAAAAATGATGCAAGAGCTACCTACTTCAGATTTATAGTACATAATATTCATAGTTATATTTTTTGTTTTGTGTATTGTTTTATTTTCTTGAAAGAGTGATATTGTTTTTGGGAAAAACAGAAAAGTTTAATAGGATGGCAGTTTTTTAATATCAGCAACTTTTAAAAGCATCTACAATACATATATATATGTGTGTGTGTATATATTTATATTTATTAAGTTGTCAGAAAAAATTTTGTTTTGATGCAAAATTCGTCAGTCTAAATGAAAATAAGTATGCAGCATTATTGATTGGTTAATACAAAATAGATACGTCATTTTTTGTTTACCAACCCCCATCCCAAAAGTATTTGCATTTTAATAGTTTATAATTGTAAGAAGTATTTGTGTTGTATGTTCCTTCTGATGTATTCAGTGGAGAGGCATCATTAGATACTTAAAAGATTCAGAGCTTGGGCCCATAGGTGTGGGAATTTTTCGGTGTTTCAGTATGATATCAATTGTGGTTTTATATTGTGATTTTTCAAGACACTAACTGGAGATCCTGGCACTGTCAAATAGAATAGGTGCACAGGCCCCATGTTCCAGTGTTTAACAACTCTTCTGGTATTCATAAATGATTGAATGTAACGTAAGAGATTAATGTCAACTCATCAAAATGTTAGCAGTAACCAGACACCATGAAAACTAAATTAATAATTAAATTACCATGTTATTAGTACTGGCTAAAAATACTCTGAAAATGAATGTTTTTAGATGTCTCAAAGGCTTAAGTATCATACGCCATAAACTTTGTAGAAGCTTCTATTTTTTTTTTTTTTTTAGCTTGTACTCAGCAGTACTTTCTTGGTTGCAGTGAAATTTTATACACAAAATACTTTACAGGTGTGTGCATCAAATTTTGGAGCATTTAGTGGAGTGGTTGGACAAAAGATAACAGAAAACATTCTGGTATGGAATTATGTCATGATTATTAAATCTTACAGAAAAATAATGCAGTAAAATTCTGATCAGAACTATTAAAAGAAATACATTTTGAGCAATTTTGAATTGAGAACTTAAAAACATATAAAACCTGAAGTTAAACAATCATTGATTCAGCCAGCATTTAAAATTGTAATTATGTATTGTACTCAGCAAGTTAGATAAAAATTTCAATTTTTATAATTTTTGTGTTGTTTTAAGAGTCAAAATTTATAGAAATATTTAATTTTGAATGTAATTTTGTACCTATATGTGTGTGCTACAGCTCTACTAATAACTATTAGAACACATAACATAGAAATGCCACTGATAATTTTTTCTCTTCTAAAAGACTGTTAAACAGAGTTAAGTAAAAGTACTGTCATCTTTATTTGTATTTCACTGAATTTATAATTGTTTGCTTTGTTCACATATAATTAAAGGCTTATTCACACACTAAGTTTTACATGTTTATTTTGTATTATTTAACCAATTGTTTTATTGGATGTAGCCTTTTCCTTTAGACTAGGACATAAAATCTATTGAACAGCTACTTTTTCTAAAGAGTATCTTTTACTTCTTGTTGAACATTTTTGTACTTTTGATAATATTAGGCAAGAGAATGTTGTTTTTATCTGTGTACTTGTTTTGAAGGTTAGGTTTTATAGCATATTAAACAGCTAACTAGTTTTTCAAAACCTAGACTTGTTCTGAAGGCTAGGTTTTATAGCATCTTCAGCTAACTAGTCTTTCAAAACCTAGACTTTATATAGCCTATTGAAGGCTAGGTTTTACATTCTCTTAAGCAGTTATTTCTTCCTGTTTATTTCAAGACTAGTTTTTTCAGTCTACTGAACAACTGTCCGTTTGTTCTTAAATCTACATGTTTATATCCCTATGAATCTATTTACTTTTTTTATATACCTAGAGTATTTTAACGTGTCATACAGTTAGTTTTTCTTTTTTTTTTGTCATGACATTGCAATTCTGCCTCCATAACATGCAAAACGGTTTTAAAACTTGCTATTTCCACTTTAGTTTTCAGAGAATTATATTCTAGATTATTATAAGTGTTTGAGCTGTTTTTTTAAGATTTTTATAAACATATTTTTTATGCTTCCTGTGAATGAATATTGAATCCAAAAATTTTATAAACACACAATTCCGAAATGAGTACTCACCTCCATACACACAGTTTATCTATCTTCTTCAGCTGTTCCACACTGAGAAAGGTGGCTAAACTGTGTGTGGGGGGTGAGTATCTATCAGAAAAACATTTTCAAGTAAGGAAAATGTTAACATTACCACCAGAACATAAGGAAGGATAGAGACAAAAGTCTCACCCTCACTTTTAGTCATTCGTCATTTTTTAAACTTTTGCTTGCTGGTACTGTTGATTTTTTTTTTAGATAAGAAATCCTAAATTTTCCACAGCTCATTACATAACAGACCAAACTTAACCTCTTTTTTTATAAACTTGATGTTTATTTCTACATTTTCAATCTGATTCCCATGTCACTTTGTATTTTTAGCTTTACAAGTTCCAGTATTTATGTGAGGATGGTGTTTGGGGTGTAAGGAAAGCATGTGCTGAAGTTTTTATGCCAATCTCTTGCGTATGTTCCATGGAAACCCGTCGTAAAGAGCTAGCTCCTCTTTTTGTTTCCTTGTTATGTGACCAGTCTCGCTGGGTAAGTGATGTGTAGTTTCATTTATTTTATCTTTTTATTCCTTTTGAGATTGATGGGTTATTAAAAAAAACAAAATGTGTGGTTAAATTCCTTACAACATTCCATGAATATTTGGTTTTAAGAAGTTTTTGTAATGGTAAAAGTTTCATTTGAATAATACATTTATTCAAAAATGTATCTGAAACAGGTAAGAATGGCAGCTTATCAAGCTTTAGGCCCTTTCATCTCAACATTTGCTGATCCTAGTAAAACGGGTCTTTATTATAGTGAAGATGGAGTTATCACGGTCAAGGAGGAAGTGGACAGTACAGTAATCGAAAATGTGGTACCATCTACTGAATGCGAGAGTACTCCTGTTAGTACAAAATCTGAATCTGTAGACTGTGATGATAGAATTGATCAAAATGCTCCCCAGAGTTCCATAGAAACCAGTCATATAAAGAGTAGTAAATCTGATGCAAATCCAAATGTACATAAAGAAAGTTTCAATGTTGCAAGTTCTGCTGTGATAGAAAGTCATAATGCTGCTGAATCAGATGAGATGGAACTAACATCAGAAGATTCCTCTGATAGTGGAGATAGCAACAACAATGTTTTTCAAGTCTACTCAGGCCAAGAAAGTGGCATGGAGATTTCTCTTGAAGAAAAGTTAGCTGAACAGTTTTTTCAACATCGACCTCCAACAGATGTATCCAGTCAGAGTTCAGGTAGTCGTAGGGTTAGTGAATCAGAAAGCTTTAGTGAAGCTGGAAGCTCCAAATATTTTATCACAGAAGGTTCCCGCAGCAGACAAGAAAGTGTTTCAGAATCGCCATTAACTGTGACTTCCAAAGATGGACATCTGCATGTTCGAATTGATAGTGAAAGTGCCTTCAACACATTTCAGTTTTGGCGTATCCCCATTCCAGATATCGAATTAGATATTGAGCTTGCAGGAAGAACCACCAACGTCCACATCAGGTCCAGAGTACATGATACTGACCACCAGCAGATCTGCTCTTCAGATTTGAGTGTCCTACTCACATCAGTACAAAAGAATGACAGTTGTCAAAAGGCTGAAATGAATGCTCTCAGTGAAAACCTAGCTAGAACTAAGCTAAGCCAAAATTTAAGGTAAGAAAAGTTCTCTTATGGTAAAGCTATGTGAGCAGATAGATTATAGCAGGGCTTACAATTAAGGAAAATGAATATCAATAGAACATTATCTGTGTAAAAAATAAACTTTTAAGGTTTAGATGGAACTTATTTTATTGTGTAAGTTTGTGTATGGTGTATGTTATTTCGTGCTTGATAAGTAGTTTTGATTTTAATTTCACTCAGTAGATTGTATTATCTTACATGTCAGTTTAAATAGTTTCATCTGATTCAAAGTATTATATCAAACTGAATATGCCTTTTTATTAAAATGTTTCAACTTTGTTTTTTTCATGCACAGATACAGCTCTGAAAAATCTGTGAAACTTCGTAAAAAATTTTATTTAAATAAAAAATAAGTTCCTTATATATGATCGATCAGTGCAATTTTAGATCGGTTTTGCTAATGTGTTTTAGTGTAATAATTACATTTTCGCATTAAATTGTATATGAATGTGAAAAATATTTTTTTGTTTAATAAATTTCAATACTGCTAGTAGAATTACTAGAAAATTATTAAATTAACTTAATAAAAGAAAATTTAAATAACTTTTACCTTAAGTAACATTTCCTGATTATTTAATCAGAGCTTTTGTTTTAGTAATTCTTCAACTTCGAGCATGCAAACTCAAGAAACTTCATACAGTACAGCTCACGTGCAAACAACCTATGTTAGCTCACTGACGGACCTTCAGAAGTCTACTACCCAAGTTCTATCCTCTAGTTTGAATGAAGCTTCAGTTTTACTAACACATGGAGAATCTTCAGGTTTGTCTGTGACTCTAGAGTGTATGTAAATACTACATTAATATAAGTTAATAGCTCTTAAAAGAATGAAATAAAAAGGGTTAAATAAAACAATATATAATCAATGTGAAGCACTGAAAAAAAGGTTATTTCCAAATGGTTGTTTCCTTTAGTAAAATTACTATCTTTTAAGGGAAGTTACTAACACTACTACTAGATTTGTAGTATTGGAAATATTGTATCTTCAAAAAAAACAAACAAATTTTGAGTTCAATAATAACTTTTGTTATCACCTAAAATGTGACATTAACTGTGTTATGTTAGTATGAAAGTAATTATTTTGTTTGTGTATGTGTTTGTGTGTATATATATATATATACACACACACACACACACACACACACACATATGATCAGGTATTCTGATTTTTCTAACAATATTCATACTTGAGAAAAACTTGCATACTTTCTTTACAAAAAATACTAAGTTATTTTATTTGTATGCATTGTCAGAATATGATAATTTTAACAATAATATTCAATAAATAAGAATTTGAGTCATCAGAATAATTTTCTGTCACCTACCATGGTAAATTATAAAGAAACCACACTGACACAGGCAGTTTAACAGTATTAGTTTTGTCCACCAGAGTTTAGAAAGACCAGAATGAACCTTTGCAGTCCTGATGTGGAAATGTTGCTCCAGCCTTTGCATGCAGCACATGGAACCTCCCTTTCTGTTGAAGAACACATAATTTCTCCCTCCGATCAGGTAAGAGATGTAGAACAATAGCTGAAGGAAAGTAAGAATTAACTCCTTGCAAAATTAAAAGTATTTGCATTGTCTTGTGAAGAATTTTCCCTTTTTCCATTAATTTCTCTTTCATGAATGTTTACATTGGTTATGTCTCTTTTTCCTTTGCCTAGCAATGAGTAAGTAACATGTACATCATCATTTTACTAAAGAACAAACATATAAATAGATATATAACTGACCCTTTATAGGTTTTTCCTAAAATGATATAGTATTTATGATAAACTGTTATATTATGAAGTTTATTCACGCTTGATACCCCTGGAAAGGATCGTTCTTTGTTACATATAACATCATAGATATTATGATTTGTTTTTTTGTAAATTACTGCTTTAATTAGGATTTCAACTAAATCTTGTAACCTAGCTGAACATGATGAGCTCTGGTGTTGAGTGAAAGGACCTTGTTGGCAGGATTGCACAACATGTAGTTGAAATCTACAGTTAACTCTTCATATTGGAAGGCCTTATTTGAGCAAATAAGTATGGTATTATTGAGGATATTTTCAGTCTTTTTGCTACTTTATCCTTCCTATTTCCCTAAATAGTTATCATGTTTTGTCAGTTTAACTCTTTCAACCAGAGCTTAGTCCCTGGGACCTACCAAATAGCCATTTTGTTCATGTTATAGTTTCAATGCTATAACTTTTAAATTAGTAAGTGATTGTTAATGAAATTTGGCAGTTTATCAGTAAACATTACAATGTTTTCATATCCAAACTATCTAATTTTTTATGAAGTCTTAAGGTTTGTAAAGCAATGTTTCTCTCATGCCTTTTTTTTTTCCTTTCACATCATCCCTATTTATCATGCAAAATAATTTTAAGATTAAAAATACTTTTATGCATCAGAAAATTTTGAAATTTTGCATGCAAAATCTTTATAATGTCTGGACAGTTATCAAACATTTCTTAAGAAAAAACTATATTTTATCTGTTATTTTCAGTAATTAATCTCTGTACAGGTTCACTAAATTTGACCGATCTTGCAACCACCAT